CCCCAAAACCCCAAAACCCCAAAACCCCAAAACCCCACTATTAATAATTCAGTTAAAATAATTAATATTTATTAAACGAACATGAAGTATCCTAAATGCAATATACGTAAAGATTGAGACCTTGTGACTCATCTCATAAAATGCTCCTCTGACAACATATTCGATGAAGACACCTTTGTGTGTGAGAGATGTGCAAGCAATCTTTATATAGACGAAGATCCCATAAAGATACCGAATCTTGAAATCATACTAGATTGCCTAAATCTTGCTGAGTACAACTTAACCCAAATTGACTCATTCAAAGAAGCCCATAACCTTGATAAATTATGGAAAAAGTTACTGCCTGAGCTTGAAGCATTGATCATAAGCAATATTGAACTCAAAGATGACTTGGAAATAACAATTACTGAGAATAATTGGAGAAAGATTCCTTCCATTCATATCCAGTCTAAAAATCTATTAAGCTCAGTCTTGAACTCCAAACTTTACAAAGAATATTGCAGACAGTCTAACTACATGAAGTTCTGTGACCAAGAAGCCAAGAAGAAGCCTAAGAGGCTTTCTAAGCTTCAACCAGAAGAGTCTAAGCTCAGTATTGACAAATCTGAGCATGAAAAAGTTCTTAAGGAACTTCAAGAGACAAGAAATCTTTGCTTGCAAAAAGACGAGATAATCACTCAGAAACAAGATGAAATACAGCAAAAGGACAACCACATAGAAGAGAAATCTAAGGAGATCATGGAAAATTTTATTCAAATCAAAAATTTTAGTCACCAGGCAAGTGAAGAACAGAAATATATCAAACTGAAAGAAGAAAAGATCCTTCAACAGAAGGCCCAGATCGATAAGCTTCTGAAAAATCAGGAGCAAATCAATACCGCAAAGTAAAATTTAAGCATTTTTGTTCTACATTTTCGTAGCCCCCATAATCTGTTCAGTAAATTTTCATGTATTTACCCAAATTTTTAATATTCTGATTCCTCTATCATCTGAGTTTAATATTATCTGCATTATTTCTTTTATACAAGATATTTTTAGGCTAAACTAAAACTACTTAAATTGGGTGCGATTAATTACCCCTTAAAACCATTAGCACTGTAAAATAATCCAGGAAACTTTGACTCTAAAAGACTCTAGATTTACCAAAATTTCCTTGTGTCTAATTTTATAAATTGTAAATTTTATCTAAAACCATTCAGTTTTATAAATAAGGTACAAATTACCCTAATAATACTTTACTTAATGGTAAATGTAGCCTTGAGCAAACTCAGTCTGAGAAAGACCAGGAAATCAAAGAATTTAAACTTAGGTTGTCAGAGCTTGAGAAAAAAGATAAGATACAACAAAATATTATTAGCCAGTTACAGAAGAAAGTAACTGATCATCAAGCTCCAAAGAAACTTGAGACTAAAGATGATTACTTAGATGCTTATGCAGAAGGATTTAAAACATTTTTGAAGGCTTTAAAGGTGCCTCTAAACTTAGAAATACCTGGAATTGGAGATGTTAAGGCCCAAGCTGAGTTATTAAAGAATATTTCAAAGATATCTACACAAGATCAGAGAGTCAAGCTCGCTCCATTTTTGGCTATGAAATATGAAGATATGTGAAACCCAAAAGGAGAAATTCAGCCTAATGTTAACCCTGCAGTGATTGGGAGATCATTCCAAGAAAGAGAGTCTAATAAGTCAACTCCCAAATGTTCTGCAAAGGATTTTCAAGATAATCTGCAAAATCCAGCAGCTGGATCGCACAAAAATATATCTGAATCTGAAACAGAGATAGAGCCCAACACTTTGATACCAGTGACACCTGACCTTGCTTCCTCAATAGCCACTCCACCTACATCTGAATCCCCAATAAAACTCCAGCTAAAACCCTTACTCTTAAAATCTCCACTCCCCACAACTGCACTTCATAAACTCCTGCAACAATGCTCGACCTCTGACCAGCGTGCAGATTTCGTCAGTACAATACTAACTCAAGCTATCGAAGAAGACACCAACCAGAGTAACCTTCAAGGAAAAGGTAAGTTTGAGTAAATAATTAAGATTATTAATGATTTAGAATGAAGAGTAGCTTCGTATGCAAGCTTACTTGTGAAGCTAAAGAATAAGGAAGCCCAGGATATTAGGAAACAGCTTCAGGAAGGAGTACAGGTGAAAAATTTTAATATGAAGAATGGAGATGGACCTTTAAAAGAAGAGGTTTATAAACAAAGTAAAGTTTTGTTCTTGGAGGTGGCCAGAGAGTTGGTTATTAAAAGAAATATGAAAGACAAAAGGAAAGAAATTATTGAAGAGTATAAATGAAAGTTATTTAACTATCTTAAACTCAAAGGTGAGTTATATATGAATGGCTTCTGTGGGGTCGATATTCAAATTAGTATATTAAAAGCTTTACTTGGTCAAGGAAATGATGAGTTTGCTCTAAAAGCCACTGGGTTCACAATTGAAGGAGCCTGAATACTCTTACAAATTATTGGGACTAAACTTAGAAAGAGGTTTTCATGAATTGGCCAGAATGGAGAAAACCAACAAGAGAAGAGGAAGCTTAAAAAAGTAAAGAAGACTTATAATGAAATTATCAAAACTCTTAAGAATTTAAAGAAACGTGAATACATGAATACAAGGATAGGAAATTTAATTGAAGAGGCGCTGAGTGTGAAGATCGAAGAATTACCTACTAACAATCAGAAGAAAGAAAATAGGGCTGTTATTGAAGAGAAGAAAGAACCATCTCAAAAATCAGTCAGCGAGACTTCAAAAGAATGTACCTCACAATTATTAGCGAAGAAGGAGAAATCTGTTGCTTTTAATTATCTAAATATGGATTCAGCCTTTCCTCCTCTATCTTCTTCTGTTAAGCAGAGTAAGATTCAACCATCAGAACCAAAAACATCTCAGAATTCTTCACATCTTTCAGATAATGAGTTTGTCTCTTTTTTCAAATTAACCAAGAACAATCTAGCTGAGTCACCAAAGGGTAATTCTAAATCTATCCAACTTGAGGCACTGCTTGACAAACTTATTCTCTCTGAAGACATTCATCTTGTCAATTTTCCTAATTTCCTTAACCTCTTATGCAAGGATAACAGTATCACTAAGGAAGATATAGAAGCTGCTCTTGCGTCCTTTTGGAACAAGATTCGTATATCTAAGCATGATTTTCCAAAATTAATCGGAACATTTGTAGGGTTGCTATACTCTATCTTTGTTGACAAAAAGATTGCTGATTTCCACAGATTCATGGCTGGAGTTGATTATAATGCAGTTCAAGACGATCAAGGCATTGACTCTTTTGATGTTTACTTTAAAATTTTTGGTACTTTCTTGCATCTTATCCAGTTAACACTAGGAGATAAAAAATTGACTCACTACTATAATCATTTTCAAATAAAAGAGGCTTGTCTTAAACTGAAATCCCTCCCACATCGCAAAGAGATTTTCAAAGAACTGGCTGATCAAGGTATTTCAGAAAAGGTCATTATTCTAATTGATGTTAAAAGTTAGTGGAATATAATTCCGCCGAGGCTAAAAATGTCCTGAACTTCACTGCATGTTCTATAATTTAAAAATCAAATTATTAGATTAGTTCTCCAAGGATTATTAGGAGTCTATATTTAAGTTTCACATGAATATTAACTCATGATTTCATCTCCTGAACTCATTGTATGCTTTAGGCTTATTATCTCAAAATATTAGAAAACATCTGAGTGTTCCTAAAGTACCAAAAATTGTGGATGCTCAGTGTTTACTAAATTCATGAGATTATCCTTTAGATTTCAGCGTAAAAAGTTTTATTTCACAATTTATTATAAGTCTAGCTTGGAATTCTATATTTAAATTTGACAGCTTAAATTTAATATGTTAAAAATAGAAATAAGCATCTCTCAATCCTAATCCTTTGTCTGGGGTTTTGGGGTTTTGGGGTTTTGGGGTTTTGGGG